GGGGGGGAGCGGCAGTGTAGCCGTACCCTGAGAGTGTATAAGGGCTGGGAATAGTAAATGATGGAGAGGAGGAGAACAGAGAGGGCAGGGCTTCAAGGAAGGGGTGGAATCTTGGGGGAAGGAAGAGGCAGTAGATCTTGGCTTGTTCTGACATTTAAAAAGTGATCTTGGGCATAAAAAGGTTGGAGACCACTGTCCTAGGCTACATCTCCACTGCTTCCCTCTTCCGCAAAAGCCTATGCAAATGAAGTGTGGATTAGCATATTGCCACACTTCATTTGCATAATTAGGAGCCATTTTGCACAAGACGGCTCCTAATTAATTATGCAAATGAAGTGTGGCAATATGCTAATCCACACTTCATTTGCATAGGCTTTTGCGGGAAGCTGTGGAGACCTAGCCCTACTGTCTTCCCAGCTCTCTTTCTTTCCCCGTCCCCTGCCTCCCCATCTAGACTGCCTTGATCTACAGCAGGGGTGGACAGTAGTTATCACAGGGGGGCACTTCATGAATTTTGGTATGTGGTCACAGGCCAGTTCCAGGATCCTCTGACAGGGTGAGGCCTTGGGCAGAGGGGGTGGAGTTGGGGACTACAGAGAGAGAGTGTGAGACAGAGACTTTGTGACACAGGTTGAGTGTGTGTGGCACAGACTGGGAGAGTGTGTCTGGCATAGTGTGACAGTGACTGCATGGAAGAGACTGGGTATGTGCGACAGTTACACAGAGTGTATGTGCTGCCACTTGCTGCCTCTAAGACAGAGAAAGCTGTCCTGTTCTATTGTGTCTCCAACTCTACAGAGATGGGGCGTGGGTGTGAGAAGAGAGACCAAGCATGAGCGCTGAAATCTTAGAAGTGATTCACTGCCTTGTAAGACAGGCACTTGTCTGAGTCACTTACAAGTATGCTTCAGATTGGAGTAAAGCGCTGAAATCTTAGAAATGATGCACTGCCTTGTAAGACAGGCACTCCTCTGAGTCACTTACAAGTATGCTTCAGATTGGAGTAGCTCCATTGTGTGTCTCCCTCTTCCCAAGCCCTGCTTTGCAGAGATAAGGTGGCACCCTACCCCTGTACCCTGACTTCAGGACTCTCCTCTGCCTGGTTGCAGGATGGAGTAAGGTGGGGGGAGCGTCATCTGAACACACACTGCCGACTGTAAGTGTGCATGCTCTGCTAATAAGCTGAGCAGGCTGGAGAGAAATGCTTGGTGGGCCAGATCTGGCCTAATATTGCCCACCCCAATCTACACTAATTGTGCCATGTCCAGCTACATACTGTTGTGCCTATTAAAGGGGATGCTGAGGCTACAACATTTTTGGCCCTAGCCCTCTGAGCTAGACAACTGGGTCTTTGTTTCTTGAGTGAACCAAAAAGCTTAATTTTGGGGAACAGGATGGTACCTTTTTTAAAGAACTGGCTGAGAAGATGTGGTATGCTTAGGGCGGGCCTCCATAGGCAGGATCCAACCTACAGCTGCCCTGCTACTCCCCTACCCCCAGGCCAATCAAGACGAAGCCATGCATTCTGGGGAGGGAGGGAAACTTCACACACTGCCACACCCCAGGCCAATCAGGGTCTGTGGGCAGGGGAGCAAAAGTGTCTCCTGGCCCTGCCCCTTCCTGTGCAGTCCAGGGCCACTTGAGAAATTTGTGAAGTGGCCCCTTGTAAAAATTATTGGCTTAGTGTCCCGTCAAACCCCTGAAGAATCATGGTTTGACACTCCGCCCTTTCCCTGCCTGATTCAGTGCGTCCTTTAATAACGAAAATAGTGATTTAACATGTGATACAAGCCCAGGTTCTGGCTGGCACTACCCTCTCCTCACAGCCAGCTTCCAATACTAGAGATCCTTGCTTATCCCAGATGGAATAAGGCTGTCACATTAATTATAATATGGTAGCACCACCACACTTCATTAGGGTCAGGTCTCCATTGTGCTGGGTGCTGTACAAAAACATGCAGACACAGACCTTTCCCTGAAAGCTTAAATAACACTACAAGTTAGGATAACAAGCAAATGATTATGTTTGAAGGAGAAAGGAAAGGGTGATGGTATTTGTTAGAAGATCACATGGTAATATAACCTTGCTGCATGTAAGCTGGCCTCAAGATGAA